AGATATGGTACTTTTGGACACCCAAGACTTGACCTTAGAATGACATTGTATGCTTAGACGGTTCCTTTTATGTGCTTAGAGATATAATAAAAAAATTTCGCAACAATTATGGTTCGACAGGAAAAAAAAAAAAAAAAAACAATCGAACGTACCAGGCGGCACGCGCAACTGTCAAAGTTGTGTGCGCCCTCCTAGCGCAAGTTCAGAAGCTGCGTGCGACACCTCCGCGCAACACTGTGTCTTGCGCGCAACTTCTGTGTCTTGTGCGCAACACTGTGTCTTATGGGCCCACAATTCAATGTTGACTTTGAATCGTTACGAGCAATATCATACAGAGAAAACGAATACTACCGCTTCAAGGTTAATCGTTAAGTAGGTGCTAAAAATATCTCTTTGGCTAATAACGTTGTCTAACATTTACTATGATCGTCTTTTTTCGAAAAACATGTTTCTTTTATCGTTCTTTTTGCGTTTTTGCAAAAATAAAATAAAAAATAAATAAAAAAATAAAAAGAAACCGTTTGTGGTAGATGCTACTCTTGAAGATGAACTTTCCACCTTAGCGCAAGACGGTAAATTGCGCGCGATATTATTTTTTATTATGATAATTCGTTTACGTACTTGATAATCGAGCTAATGACATTACTTCTTATGAGGTTCATCATTAGAAGTTCGCATCTCTTAATAGGACGTCATCAATATGTTTATTCTTAAACGTGCCTATTTTCGTGTTCATCATTTTTTTAGTTGTAATTGGTCAACCTTGATTTAAGAGTATAATTTATTTACCTATTCTATGGTTTAAAAAGAAAATCCCGAGAACTTTACTTGGGATGATTGCCTCACACAAAAAAAAAGAGAAAAATAGAACGGAAAAAAATAAAAAAAAGAAATGTCGTTCTTAAAAAAAAAGTGTGTGATACATTACATACATACATATATATATATATATATATATATATATATATATATATATATATATATATATATATATATATATATATATATATTATTCTAAAAAAAAAGAGAAGATAAAGAATGATAAAACCGAGAAAATGAATTTAAATATTTCTTGGATTTTACATTCGGAGGCCATCATTCTTTTTAAACAAATAGTAATATATTTTCCTTTAAAGATAAGTAATATGAGAATCATAATTAAAAAAAAACGATATTGATTTCTATTGTAATCTAAATGATCAACAAATACTATAGTATATTGATCATTTTAAAGAGTATGTTCGGGTCGATTAATATTCCTAAAAATTTGATGCGCATTTTCAATCCAACTTTCTTCTCTTTCTCTTCTACCTTTTTTCGAAAACAATTCATTTAAAGTAAAGTCCTTAGATGATTACCTTGTTGAAATCAACACAAATCATGACATTCCATTAATGATTGTTCGTAAATTTTTTGACATTCTTCATCAACAAACCTGCTTAAAGTGAATTCGTATTACAAGGATAAAAAAAAAGTAAAACAATCATTTTGACTTTGGTTCATTGTTTGAATGCTTGGCAAAAAAGGTTTAAGTGAACACGCTTAATTTCTCGTGACACGCATTACTAGATCATCTTCCACATTCGCATACTAGTCCAATCATGGGTGATAAAGCAGCATTGGAGAAACTTAGAGAGGAACTCCAAAACCTAAAGGCCCTACGAGAAGAATAAGCCCAAATAAAGGATCATAAAAAAGCAGAAAAGGCTAAAATAAAAGCAGAAAAAGAAAAAGAAAACATTCTGCAAGAAAAAGCAAGAGCCGAAAGAGTAGAGGCCTTGGAGAAACTTGTCCTTCGAGCTAACTCAAGGAATAAGTACTTCAATTATGAGCTTTCACCACAACCTAGTGACAAGGCTCTCCCAGAAAAGTTCTTTACTACGGATTTGCCAACCTTTAAGGTTACATACAATCCTAGAAATCACTTAATGAGCTTTATTAGAATTATGGCATTGAAAGGGGTTGAGCCAAGCCTATATGCATGTACTTTTCCTCTTTCGTTGGACCCAACTGCTAGATCATGATTTTATAACCTCGATGCAAAACAAATTTCCACTTGGAGTGACGTTGTAAAAGCGTTTTTAACCCACTTGGTGTGATCTTGAATTGCTTAATCAAGGGGAAGAAGAAGGCTTCATTGACTTGTTTTCCAGGTGGCGATCAAAGGTTTCTCTTATTCCACAAAGACCTCCGGATCATGAACTTTTCCCAAAGTTCATAGACAATATGTATCCACAATACAAGTGCCATTTACAATACCTTGGTTTAGTCACATTTCAAAAAGTCTATACTGTGGGAACATTAATTGAAAGGGACATGATAAATGAAACCATGAATCATATAGATGGATTTGATTTTTAGAGAGGATTTCACCTACGTCAGAAACGGACAAAGCTCGAAGACGCAATCTCAAGAAGTTGTCAACAATTCAAGATGTAGCACACTAGGTCTTGTTTTGTTTCTTTCCTTTGTTTTGTATGTTAGACTAAGAGATTCATGATGTCGAATCTACTTATTTTATACTCTCATTAGTTAATGAATAAAAAATATATTTTCAACTACGTCTATCTTGTTCTCTTTTCAATCTCTTTATTGTAATTAACTTGAATTAAATAAAACACATACATACAAACAGGCAATATCAAAAGGCATACATACTTAACACCTTAAGAATCTTGATAAGCTTTGGCTTACTAGATTTATCGAATGAAAAGAGGCCCATCTTTGGCCCACAAAAAAAGGATATGATGATTTCAACAACACAGGAGGCAACTTGAAACTCTATAAATATAATCACATGCTCTTAATCTTAGAGAAAATCCATATTTTTGGCAGCCCTTTTGAGCCTCGTCAATTGAGCCTTAGTTATTCATCCTAGATTATTCCATACCTTGGGATGGGAATGGTGCAAAGATACAAATAGGAAATTGGTGGAACAAAACATAAGAGGGGGACACAAAGTTAGTCTAAACCCAAAAGGAAAGATCAAATGCAAAAGAAAAAAGAAAAATCTCTCTAAACCCAAAAAAAAAAAAAAAAAGAAAGGATAGATGACATGGAAAAGGCACCTAATGTAGGAAGTTGCCACACAAAACAGAAAGGTTTTAATTCGAGAAGCACCAAAAGTAAGGGATTTTGGGAGTATACTTGAGCCTGTCTATTGTTCATAACCCCAAGTCTAGCCATGTTAAAACCTTGGAAAGGCCCTCCTTGAGGTAGACCATAACCATATACCAAAATCATCATTCCATGAAAATATGGACAATCTTAGGCCTTTGCACATATGGACCTACAATTGAGTAGTCATGCCCATATGTAAAATACATGAAGTGTTGAGTTATGATTACAAGATCATATAAAAAAATTCAAATGATTTGGATGATTTGATAGCCATTGGCTTGATTACATCATGTTAGTAAAGCAATCAAATCAAACTAAATTCGATGTTTTCCATATCCTTTGCCAAAGAAAAATGAGACGACTATCAATTTAAAAAAAAAAACAAACACAAACACACACATACACACAATCATCTTATTTTCTTTTAATAATAGGGTTATCAAGGTAATTTAGGTTCTTTATACATTGCCTAAAAGAAAAAGAGTTAATACAATAGATTGATTTGCCATATCGACAGCCTCGACTACGTCAACTTTAGATGTCTTTTACAACTCTTGAGAATTGGTCTTTTCACTTGTCATGAGCAACTAAAATGTCCGCCTGCGTAGGATATCTCCATCTTCTCTAAGCGAGGAACAACCATTGAACATGATAGCTACATGAAAAATTGATCATCATCGCTATCACACGTATTAACGTATACCTCACTGCCAAGTCATCACGATGATTCAAATATTAAGTCAATAATCCTTGCTTTTCGAAAACATGTCTTATTTTCTTTCTTTATGCTTCTATGGGAAAGTTGGATTCCCCTTCCTTTTTATACAAATCTGTCTTTTTTGTTCATTTCTTTTTTAGGGGGGTAAGTTGGGATGATCCCTCCCATTTGGCAACTAAATTACTCAAAAAATGGTATAATTTTTTCGCTCTTTGCCTCAATTGGGGGCTTAATAAAGCAAGGACATCCCCACTTCTCTCTATTTACAGATTTGAACACGCTATTTATGCTGCGAATATTGGCTAAGGGATGGCAAACAAACCACCTACAAGACAAAAATCAAATATGATAAGAACAAAGAAAATATATGATGTTCTAAATCAACTTTGAGAATAAAATCACCACAATGATCTTTACAAACGCTTAGACATTAGGTATGATATACTAAACCTTAAACACAATTTTTTTGGTTTATAAACAAGCAAAGGATTAACTTGGTTTCTTGAACATGACTTTAACTAAAATGCAAAAGCCATGTCATTATCCTAAATATCTCAAAAAACAAAAATAGGATATATGCATAGGTCCATCCCAATATCATAATTATATGGATGGCCTAAACAATAGCAAGTCATTAGAACTACACTAGTGGAAAAAAGACTATTCGTAATGGGCAAAAACAACCTATCCGCAACGGACGGCGGTTGTTACGCATGCGGCTGTTACAGATAGACAATGTTATTTGTAACGGGCAGTGCCCGTTAGAAATAAGTAGTTATTCGTAACGGGCAGGTGAATTGTCCGTTACGAATAACCCCTTATTTGTAACGGACAATTATAATGCTCGTTACGAATAACCACTTATTTGTAACGGACAAGTACAATGCCCATTACGAATAACCCCTTATTTGTAACGGACAAGTACAATGCCCGTTACGAATAACCCCTTATTTGCAACGGACACATACAATGCCAGTTACAAATAACTAGTTATTTGTAACGGGCATTTATGTTGCCCGTTACATTTAATGTCTAAAAAAGGCAAAATTTTAGGGGTATTTGTAACAGGCACATTAAAGGTGCTAGTTACAAATACCCCTATCTTTATCCATTCACCATCCATAAATTAACTATAATAACATATATCAAATCCAAACTTACATATTATCAAAGACCAAATCCAATTTTACATATTATCAAGCACTAAATCCCATTTTACATCTCAATGATATTGTAAAATAAAAATAGTTAATAAAGAGAAACAGCAGCATCCAAGAGGAGTAATTGCAGTTGCATCATTTACAACACCATATTGCGGCAACATTTCTTCTAGAATCACCATTCCAAGAAAATGTAACTGGGAACCATTAGAATCTATAGCCACTGGAGAAAAAAAAGTGACATTAGTCAAATTTTAGAAAGTAACTATATAAGGCAGTAAAACCTAACCTTAGTTTTTGAAGACAAACTGACAAAGTACTATAGATGATCTAGAACTTGAATTAGTAATAAGTAATGTACTGTAATTGATTTACATACTATAGATTATCTAGAACTTAAATTAGTAATATGTAGGCCCTTGAAATAACTTTCAGGTTTCATCATTCATAAAAGCTTCATTTTATGACTATTGCTGGAGGGAAAGTTTACTTTTTGAGTTAGTTCTACAATATCAAAGGTTCAGCATAACTTAATACCTATTGTATGTCCCCCTCATAAAGAGTCGGGCTGCAAAAACCATTGTTGGTTTAGCCTTCAGCAACAGAAAATGAAAAAACAACTGTTTATACCCGACTTGGCAAAAGAATTATTTCCCGTCAACTCGAGGTCTCCCTGAAACAAGAAAGATAGCATCCAAAGTATAAAAAATTCAGTCATGGCAGTTTAGAAAATCAGTCGCATAGAAAATAAATTCCAGGAGTATGCAAATAGCATCTATGCAAAACTAAAGATGAAAAGAGGGCAGAGTAGAAAGGGTTGGATGTTGAAAGAACAATAACCATATGCTTCAATCATCAACTTACCAAGAAGTTAGTAGCTTGTCAGTCAAGCTTGATATGTTCGCTAACTACTATGGTAATACATAGAAAGCACTTAACAAAGTATTACATAATAATGTGAATTGTCTTACCTTGGCAATCACTAGGGTGCAGCCCAAAAATTGTTGCATGCAGCCTCAGTGAGATTACAGAAATCACATATGTTGTCTCCTTCAGACCAGTAATAGAGCTAGCAAGTCGCCTTCAAACCTGACTAGATAAAAAAGACACAATTGTAGCTCATGGCACAGTAAGCAAAATATTTTAGTATCTTGTATAAAATAAAAGCACAAAATCTAGTTTATATTTACAACATAAAAACAACGATGATGTATATAATATAAGCATCAAAAATTCATCTCTTGAAAGAGTTAATCTTTATCATTACTAACATTATCAACATTTTTAATAAAGAAACAAACAATTTTAGTTTTTTTTAATAGGAAAAATAAAAAAAAATGGGTCCACGGATCTGTATCTGGGTCTAGGGCCCAGACCCAGATCCAGATCCGTATTTGTCAGCAGGACCCACATCCGACCCGGATCCGTCGGGTCCAAAATTTGAAGACCCAGAACCGTGAAAAAGGATCTGGATCCACGGATCCGGGTCAGGTCCAGATCCATTGCCATCCCTATATCTACCGCTTTCAAGTACTAGCCAGATAGTGAGGAACTGCTTTACCTTACCTAAAATGAAGCATATAATGCAGGGAGAAAAGGGTGGTCCAACATGTCAAGAATTTCCCTTTCTGCAATAGCTCTGTGTACCTACAACAAAATTGGCAGACAAAGTGAGCATAGGAAAAATATCAAGACACGAGCTTCAGAGTTCAGAGTCAAAAGGTCGAGTTCCTTTAAGGCTTAAGGAGTATAGCAAGCACTTCAAAATTTTTACATTAACATATATAACTAACTTATAAGTGACATCGGTAGTGCAGCATCCTATAGTAAAAGGTCTATCATGGCCTTGTATAATTTGCAGCAGATTGGAAATTGGACTTGAAAGACTGAATAACCCAAATAACAGAACATATAGTATACAATACAATAATTTTGATACCTTATTATGATTGAGCATTGCATTTTTATCCATTGCCTTGAGGGCAAAATATTCATCCGTTCCACATAATTCCACAAGATGCAAACTGCAGACAATTGGGGAAGTTAAGAGACAGTCACTAAAGCACTACAGATTATAGTTGAATATAACAAAGGAAGTGAAAAACACAAAGAACAAGCATTATTTCTACCTTAACACTTGCCCCAAAACAAGACACATCCTACAAGAATTACAATATTTCATACCCAAAATCATACCATCAATTCAAACGGAACAACTAATGACAATTAACACAACCCCCACCTCCAAAAAATCCCAAATACCGAATTTCAGAACCAAATTCAAAAACCCAGAAATCCTATCAAATAATCCCAAGAAAATCATATCAAATAACACAACCAAAAGACAATTAAAGTGATTTAAAAAAAAACCCAACAAGCTAAATTCTTCAAAATTTAAAAAAACAAGCGTAGATCTACAAAAATTACATTAAAAAACCCAGAAAAAAAACAGAAAATACCAATTGGTTACGGGAATGAATTAAGAGTATTTAACATGATAAATGACATCCTTATTGATTAGGGGATTTTTCCCCACCAATCACCATCTGACAAGTGGACCAATCAGGTTCCGCCATGTGTCCGTCACATGGGCCAATAGGAGACTGCCACGTGTCAAGCAATGATCCGTCCACCATGGACCAATTACGACACGACACGTGTCCTTCCCATGACACCTGGGATAACCGGTCACCTAGGCCCAACTCCCGAGGGAAGCCTAATCAGCCCAAGGTTAACCTAAACCTAGATTGATACGTTTCCCGATGTTATAAATACCTCCCTTAATCCTCATTAAGGGGGAGAACACGCTAAAAATGCAGATTACACACATTAAACACTCTCACCTAGAGAGACCCAATCACTTTAATTTCCGCATTAATTACTCCTTAATCAAGTACTAACTTGACCGTCGGAGGCGGATCTCCAACCATCCAGAGAATCCGTTTGTTTTGCAGGTACAGGCGTCCGGTTCCAGTCTCGGAATTGTAACTCTCCCGCAGGACATCAGAAAACCCCGAAACATTTGGCGCCGTCTATGGGGAAAGTACTTCTGAGATGGCATCCACGTCTGTACCGACTCCTGAAGAGAGGCGTCCCCTAGACGACCCTCAAGTTCAGTCGGACCACGATACTGAGAATGAATTTGAAGTTGAAGCTCACACAGCTTCAGACGGGACCCTAAGGGCCCGACGTACCCGTCATACTGAAAGGAGGGAACGGGAACATCTTCAAACTGGAAGTGAGCCAGCAGGCGCACCGCCTGTTCGGCAGCAGCCGACTGATGGGTCTACTCCCATCACAAGGAACGAACTCATGACCTTCATGAGGGACTTCAAGGGAGAAATTCAAGAGTTGATTAACAAGAAGCCGCCTGCTCTGGACAAGGAGCAGTCGGCTAAGAAACCCTCCACTTCACTGAAGAGGAAACCAGTTCAAGGGCGAGAGGCGACCCCTCATCCTAAATCTAGGAAGTGGGAGCCACCTGCCCTTGACTTCACAAAATACCGTTTTCCTACTCAAGGAAATAGGAAACCTGTTCGTCATATTCAGGCGGACGGGTCGAGGAAAACATACACAGACGCTCGGCTACTGCTAGAGCAGAAGAAGAGTGACCGATTGTCAGAGTCGGCCTCTACTTCAAACTTCCAAGACAGTCTGCGAAATACCTCAATGAGGCATACGCAGTCGTATCATGAGAGTCAGTCAGGCGACACCTCCCGTCAGTCCGGCTTTCATAGCGACCAGGCGGTACCAAACTTACCGTTTGTACCGCAACAACAATATTTTTTACAGCCACCTCCGTTTGGTGGACAAGCAGCAAAAAATGTCTAGCCTATGGACTGGCAGCTACGGTTGCTTAGACTTGGTGAACAGCCGTCGGCCTTCTCCAAGGAAATTACTGAAGCCGCTCAGCCGGCCAAAGTGAAAAATGTATTAGTAGGCGCCTATGACGGCACTACTAACCCAGAAGACCATCTGATGGCATTCACCAACCTGATGTACCTTCAAGGGTTGGATGATCCCACTTGGTGCAAGTGTTTCCCAGCGACTCTCAAAGGAATCGCACAACAATGGTTTGGCAACCTGCCGACTGGTTGTGTAAATAACTTCAAGACGCTTGCTTACTTATTCACCTCCAACTTCGCCATGAACATCCCTGCGAAGAAGACGACCCTTGATTTAGGAACTATTCAGCAGGGCGAGAAGGAGGGTCTTCGTTCTTACATCAGGCGGTTTGACCTGATGAGAATACAGATTCAAGGGTTACCGGATGAAGTAGCCTACACTGACTTTTTCAGAGGTCTCAAAGACGGGTCGACCTTCAAATTTGATTTGGTCCGAAAGAGGGTGGCGACTCTTCAAGAGGCCTTGATTGAAGCGGAAGCCTATATACAGGCGACTGATCTTTATAGTACGGTAAAACAGTCAGACGGGAAAAGGTCCGACAAAAGAGAAGGACGACAGAAACAGTCGTCAAACAAAGACAAGAAGAGAAAAGAGGTCTGGGCGGATGATTCCTCTAAACAGCCGGCCCCGAAAAAGAAAAAAGAATTCAAACCATACTCCCCAAAGTATGCGTTTAACAAGGATAGCCAGTTTATCCTAAAGGAAATCAAGGGACGGATCTCAATTGAGAAGCCGGTCCCCATGAAGGGTTCTGCAAACAATCGAAACCAAGAAAAATTCTGTGATTATCATGAAGATGTTGGTCATCACACCAATGACTGCATCAGTCTCATGCGGTATCTGGACCGCCTGGCTGAGCAAGGTGATCTTGACACTTATGTCTAGAAATCTACGAGGAACACTTCCTCAAAAAAGCAGTCGACCAAAAAGAATCAACAGGCCGACAGCTCCGATACAGATGATGCAGCCGTCTACACCATTGCAGGCGGCTTCTCAGGAGGCGGCCCCACTATTAGGGGCAACAATGACAATATCAGACGGTTAGATGTAAATTCCGTTCACCAAGAACGACCCTCCAAATATTCATTTCCTGAGATTGTCATCACTGAAGAAGATCTAGGAAGGGTAAGAGGGCCGCATGACGACCCTATCGTTATTGAATGTAAAGTGGCCAACCAGAGAGTTGGCCGAATCCTCATAGATACCGGAAGCTCCTCAGATCTCATCAGTAGCAAATGTCTGTCGAAACTAAAATATCAGACAGATTGCATACATCCGGCATCCCACCCTTTAGTAGGGTTTGGAGGAGGAGTCGTCCACCCAGTGGGACGAGTGGATTTACCCATCCGCCTGGGCGAAAAAGGGGAAGGACGACACATGGTAGTCCGGTTTTTGGTAGTAAAAGAACTCTCGGCCTACAACATGATTCTGGGACGACCAACCCTGAATAATTCCAAGGCTGTTATAATCCCATCTCTTATGTTGCTCAAGTTTGAGAGGGATAATGCAACAGTCGGGTCCCTAAGGGGAGATCAGAGGATGGCCCGAGAGTGCTATCTCTCGGATGTCAAGCCCACTGTTATGGCCACTGGGTCGAGTGGTGGAAAAATAGACCTTGACAATGTCAAGGAGAGTGCGCCTGTTCAAGAAGCAGGCGGCAAGAAGAGAAAGGCATCCCAGACAGGGGCCGCAAGAAAAGACGAAAATAGCAATCATTGGCAGAGGAGCGGTCGGATGAATTCCGCCCTCAGCCGGCTGGTGAGCATACGGACCTGATCTTAGACGACTCGCGTCCTGACCGAATAGTCAAAGTTGGGACGGCTGATCTGAGAGTCCTGGGTGACGACTTTCACACACTATTGAAAGAATACAAGGACATCTTTGCATTCGAAGTCCACGAAATGCCAGACATTAGTCCTGATCTGGCGGTACATAAACTGGCCGTGGATCCGAAAAAGAAGCCGGTACGACAGAAGAAGCGGAACCATGGCGAAGAAAGAAGTTAGGCGGCAGCCGCCGAAGTTAAAAAATTACTTGATGCAGGGTTCATTCGGCAATGTTACTTCCCAGACTGGGTTGCAAATGTGGTGCTTGTTAAAAAGCCGAATGGCACCTGGCGAATGTGTGTAGACTACACAGACTTAAACAAGGCGTGCCCCAAAGACAGTTACCCTCTGCCTAAAATTGATAACCTGGTCGACTCAACAGCCGGCCATGCTTTGATGAGCTTTATGGACGCCTACTCTGGTTTCCATCAAATTCCTTTATGGAAGAAAGATCAGGAGAAGACGGCCTTCGTCACTGATCAGGGGTTATACTGTTACACGGTCATGCCGTTTGGTCTTAAGAATGCCCCGGCCACTTTCCAGCGAATGATAAACACTGTGTTCTTTGATCAAATTGGGAGAAATGTCGAGGCATATATTGATGATATGATTGTCAAGTCAAAACTTCAGAAAGATCATCTGTCGGACCTCCGAGAAACTTTCGCCACACTCAGGCGGCACCATGTCATGCTCAATCCCAAGAAATGTGTCTTTGGAGTTAAGTCTGGGAAATTTCTCGGATTCCTTATCAATCAGAGAGGAATAGAGGCGAACCCTGAGAAGGTGCAGGGGGTCATTGACATGCAGTCGCCTCGTACCATCCGAGAGGTTCAGAAGTTAACAGGTTGTCTGGCGGCCTTGGGAAGATTTCTAAGCCGATCAGGCGACAAATGCCTATACTTTTTCCAGGCAATTAAGAAAAAGGCAAAGTTTGAATGGGGGCCGGATGCTGAGGCGGCCTTCCAAAAATTGAAAGTTCACTTGCATTCCTTGCCAAGGCTGGTCAGCCCTTTGCCCAAAGAAGTACTCTACATGTACCTGGCCGTCTCTGATCATGCGTTAAGCGTTGTTCTCCTTGCTGAAAGAGACGGCTGTCAGCTCCCGGTCTACTTTGTCAGTCATGTAATGAAAAATGCCGAGTTGAGGTATCCCTTAGTGGAGAAATTTGGTCTTGCACTCTTCATGGCTGTTAAAAAATTGAAGCCCTACTTTTTGGCACATGCAGTCGTCGTGTATACAGACCAACCTATCAAGCGGCCACTGACCATCATGGAGTCGTCAGGCCGAATGATCAAATGGGCCATAGAAATTCAGAGCCTCGAAGTTACTTTCGAGCCTAGAAAAGCAGTGAAGGGGCAAGCCTTTGCTGACTTTATTGTTGAGATGACTCGTCCTCCTGACTCTCAAGTTACAGACCAAGTCTGGAAGGTATATGTGGACGGAAGCTCTACTTCAAATGGTTGTGGAGCAGGCGTCATATGTCAGTCGCCAGAGGGCGACAGGTACGAGTATGCTTTACGCTTCAGTTTTCAGGCCTCAAACAATGAGGCAGAATATGAAGCTTTACTAGCCGGAATCCGCATGTGCAAGGCGGCAGGAGCAAGAAAAATAGACGCCTGTTCCGATTCACAATTGATAGTGAGTCAGTACAATGGCGAATACGAAGCAACCCATCCGGCCATGATCAAGTATTTACAGGCGGTCCGACAAGCAGTCGGCTCCCTTGAGGATTTCCATCTGACCCAAGTGCCGAGATCAGAAAACAACCAGGCGGATGCACTTTCAAAATTAGCAT